CTGATAACCCTAATATCAGCAACTCAATTCTGTGAAATTATTTTTAAACTTTTCTATTTAAATAGGTTCTAGCTGTTTTAATTAAAAAATCATCTAAGAAAGCCAAGATATTTTTATACTTAAATAAGTATACAAACCATATATTAATAATGCCCTCCACGCCCAGTGGTATAATAAAAGGTCTCTGGCCACAGATGCAAAGTACGCATACTGCGTTCATAGCCCTCTTACCTTAAAATGCCCTTGGGCAATAAAAGGAAATAAAAAAATTATGTATATATAACATTTATATATTGTAGTTTGTAATAAAGAAATTCCTAGAGGGTAGGAAAAAAAAAATTAATAATGCCTGATGGATCGATTCATTTGCTATTTGCTATCCATGCTATTGAATATGAGCTGCTGCTGAGATAGCTTGTGCTTCTGTACTTGATGTAAATTCTTAGAAGGTTGTGGAAGAGATGGCTGAAGGAGGCGATGTCCTCTGATGAACTTAATTTCTCATCGTCTTTTGCATTCTTAAATCTCGTAGTTTTTGGCACCCACGATAGTTGGCCGGATGCTCGCCTTCGCAATTAGCTCATTATATCGGGGTCTCCCGAGTTTTTTACATGTGAAGCTTTCGTGGCCTTGCCCACACTTGACGCACCGTGGTGAGTAGTTGCAGTATGATCTCGAGTGGCCGTGCATTTGGTGCCTAACGCATTGATACAGATTGATAGGTGGGAAATGCTGTCCCACTGTTTTTCAGAAAACTAACTAGTTTTATGTAGTCGATTAGGATCTCAGGGTAAACAGTTACTCCCTTGGATATTGATCTTATAGTAAAATGAGTTTGGACCTGTGTTGGTTTGTAGATAAGATACTACCGATGCGTAGTTGTCTACGCATGTGATTAAGATTGGTGGTGGATTAGAGGTGGCGTTAGGTGTAACATTAGTAGGTAGGTGGGTTTTGGCATTGTTCATTATTATCCGTAAGGACTTGATGATTTTTTTATCCCACCATGAAAAATCTTTGATCAAACCCTTCCCATATATACCTGAGGCTCAAAATCCCACATTTACGTCCTTGTTAATTATTCCAAAGGTATTCGTCCCAGAATAAATAAAATATTATTATTGTTATTATTACTAATGTTAGGGTCTCTGTCGACAACCGTGTTTCTTTTTCTGCCCGTTACCACTTCCTAGGCACCACTTTTGTTGTCCGTGCTCTGAGGATCATCATTGCAGTCCATAAAACCATCCACGCGTTGGGAAGATAGTGCGGCATTCATAGCAGCGGCTAATTCCGCAATTTCTCTATTCCGCTAATTCACTCATTGGTACTACCAAACCGATCCGTTAATATTTGGATTCGTCATGTTATTTTCAAAAGAATAACTCCTAAACACAAAGTTATTTAGGAAAATATTTAGAGCAAATATAAATTTAACTTTTCTATTTGGTTAGCACCGTATTATATTATAAAACTAGAATCAGAAATATTAAATGCGAGAAATTCCAAAAATCCACTGCTATCAATATTTTTAAACATCGAAAATGCCTTTAATTCCGTTAGAAGCGATGAAATTATTAAAGCATTACTTATTATGGGAATAAATGGCGAATTCCTAAGATTCATAAAAAAAAATTTCTAAGTAATCGTAAATTTAAAGTGAAGTGTGATCAGCAATGTCCACAGATTTTGAACAAAAAAATGGATTACCACAAGACAGTGTGCCTATATTATTTAATGTGGTTATAAATAAAATTGCTAAGTTAAATTACCAGTAAAAATTCTATTTTATGCAGACGACTTACATTATATCTGAGCGGGAAAAATCTGCCGTACATTCACAGCTCTATACAGAATACTGATAACAGGGTCGTTGCATGGTTCGCGAATAGAGGGCTTGTGGTATCCAAAACGAAGTCCCAATTAATATTATTCACGAGACACAGAAATCCCAACGTAAACAATATTCAAATAAACGGAGAGTCAATATAATATTCACTAAGCATTAAGTACCTGAGAATAATATTTGATAAAGTCTGACGTGGGTAACTTTTATGAAAAAAGTCAAAAGTAAATGCCTGCAGTCACTTAATTTGTTGAGAATGGTCAGTTGCCATTCATGGGGAGCTGACAAAACAAGCATACTTATGTTATACCGGAGCCTCGTCTTAAGTAAACTTGATTATGGTAGTATAGTTTACAATTCAGCCAGTGAAAATACCAAAAAAAATGTTAGTCCCAATCCAAAACACCGCTCTTAGATCAGCTTTAGGTGCATTTCGCTCTAGTCCAACGGTAAGCCTACACGTGGAAGCAGCAGTTATGCCTTTGGATTTTAGAAGAAAGGCACTTTCTCTTTCCTACTTCGTAAAAGTAATTTTTCGTTTCCAGCACCCTCTAAATCGTCTATTTTCTGAAGGCATAATCTTACTTAAAAATCGCAAAACATACCACTCATCGTTCCCAGAAAGATGTAAATCTTATCTTACTGAACCAACACTCCCATCCATCCCAAAATTCAAAAATAGAAAACTGGTCACTCCCTATCCCTAAACTTAACAAAATTAAATCAAAAGGTAATTCGCCAATTATACCGTTAACAGATTTTAATCGCTTAATAAACGCCCATCAGGAATGGACATTTTCTTCCCTTTAATAAAAGGAAAATCATAATTGGCTTGACAAATAACTTGATCTGCCACGAGAGACAATAAGCTAAGGGTTATGGAGCCATATGTCCGCAGAGCCACTCCAAATATTCTGCTGACCAGAAGGGAAGAAGACCCTCCTATTCAATGTTTTTCCTGCGGGGTACCTCTCACAGTGAACCATATCTTATGTTATACATTCCGATCTCTTAGAGACCAACATGTTTTCAGGAATTGCCTTGAAGAATAACTCCAAAAGGATTCCAATGGTATTAAATACTTAATATTATTCCTTAAGGAAATCAAAATATTTCACAAAATGTAATCACAAAATTGTGAACACATCTACAAATTTGTAAGAAATTTAATTACATCTTGTAATTGTAAATTATGCATGTTAAGTTGTTTGAGTTTGTTGGTTCCTCTTCAAATTGTAAATATATCTGTTAATTTTTTTTCTTTTAATCTTAATTTTTAATTACAACGGTTTTTCAATTTTCCTTCTTGCAATTTTTAATATTTAAATTGTACTTTTTAACTTTTCTTCTTTTAATATTAATTTTTGTTTTTAAAAACGTATTTTTAGCTTTTGGTTATAAAATTAATCTTATTTTAATTGTCTTTGTTAACTTGTCTCCTTTTAATCTTTAACTTTCAATTTATAATATTAATTCAATTGTAGTATCATATTCATCTGTAAATATTTTTAACTTTCTAAACTTTAAATTGTATTTGTTAGCTATAATTTTGTTATGTATGCCTATGTAGTAGTTTATCCAATTATATAGATAGTAATATATAGTAATAGAGAGTAATATAGAGCGAAAATGACCCAGGTGGTTGAAGAGCCAAAACATTTATAAATAAATAATTTCATACTATAGGTTGTAGTATATTTTATTTTATATTTATTTATTTCTAACGTGTGCTGTTTAAGAAATATATACTGACCAGTTTTTAATCATGAATACATTACCTCGTCCTTTCTGTTTTATCATATTTAATTTTATAATGTATTAGGAGTAGATAAGTATATTTTAGGATAAAAAAAACAAAATTGATATTAAATAATGTATTTTAACTCTAAAATAATAATTTTTTACTGTATACAAAACATATAATTGCAAATATAACTTCAAGAGTTATATGAATAAAAAGACAACACAATATAAACTATGAAATACGAAAACTTCAAAATATACAAAAATTATTACGGATTTAATCCGCATAAGGAATATATTAACTATGCTCTATTCTAGTTAAATAGCTTGGGTCAAATACAATAGTAACAAGCTTTGTACAAAGGGAAATATTAAAGGCGATATATGAAATAAAATCAATTAGCTATGTACAAAAGAAAAACACAACAATTATTTAGTGGTAGGTTTAGAGTTTGGATTCTCTATATGTTTTGACTAGTGCAACATTTTAGCACTTCAATTCTCATTGCTTTGTGGTAACAAATTATACTTAACAAACATGCCGAGCAATCTCGGCACAACATAACCAATAAAAAACCATTTACCAGGATGCCTTACATCACTAAATTCTTGAAAAATAGGTCCTTATAAATTATTAATTAGAGAGACAATAAAATAATATTAGTAAACATTAACATAATATTGGCAGTTTTCAACATAGGAACACATATAACATTTATATAAAATTTCTTTAACACCCATTTTTCGAAGCGTCAGCTTCTAATTCTTTATCACACACATAAATATAACCTTTACAATACAAATATATATATATATATTTTCTCTGAATTTATCACACATTCTAGCCTCTCGGAGAGGAAGCCATACTTAGCCAACGAGTCGTCATAGAGAGTACTAAAGGAGAGTGGAAGAACCAATGGCACTCGATATGTCCTTCAGAAGGACATCCAAGCAGCCCTCGCCTACAACATGTAGGAGGGAGCGATAGGATGGAGATAGAGGAGTCAGGATAACAGATCAATTAGGCAGTGATGAGACAACGATCTCCAACTTATGGCTATTATAAAATGTCTGAGATCATATTCCATAGGGTCATAGAAAGGACGAGGACTGAACCCAGGAACAATCCAGGACATTGGGGGCAGATCTTCCACTCTCCCTTACAACACCGCTTTATATAACATCTCACATTCGTTAACGAACATCCGATAATTATAAATTAAGCTATTTTAGCACTAAATTTTGTACATATAGGCAGAATAATTTCAAACTTAATATCTAAAACAAAAATAGAACATTTGAATTATAAAGCTTTGTGGTAGGCTTTAGTCCAAAACTCACAGTACAGGGTGGGTTGGTAACTTGCATTTGTCTGTATGACTAGCACTGTACTGTGCTCCCAGTGCCGGGCTCATGTGTTGTTATTACATTCTTCAGCGCCGGGGGACGCCGAAGAGGAGTTGGAAGGTGAGGGCGACTTCTTCTCGTCCTTGAGGTAGGGGAGTGCCCGCTGGAGGAGGCGGCTTTCGGCGCTCACCTTCCCCATGAAGGTTCGTATCTCTTCGAAGTAGGAGTCTTCGCCGAGGTTCCTGCGCTGTACAAGTCCTCGGGGCTCTTGCCTCTCATCCAAGATACTGGGTCCGTCCGCTTCGTGCTTCTTTAGGTGTCTGTCTAGATTTGTTTGTTGACCGAAACACCTATCGCAAAGAGGGCACTTGAACGGCTTTTCTTTGTTATGGATATTCCTAACATGCCTTTGCAGATTAGACGATATACTGAAGGACCTCTCACAATACTTGCATTTGTACGGTTGTTCTCCAGTGTGGGTTCTAAGGTGTCTAGTCAAGTTTGCTGACCGAGGAAAGACTTTTCCGCAGAATTTACAAGCATACCTGTCTTTACCTTTGGCGCAGGGCTGAGGCGGTAGAGCTTGAGGGCGGACATCGTATGTAGATGGTCCGTTGAGAAGAAAAGGGTAGTTCCTAGCCGGATAAGCCGGAGGGCTTGGAGGGTAGGGTATCCTTTTGTCCCTGTAAATAGCCTCTAACATCATTGGATGAATCGGTCCGTGCGGAAACAGCACTGGGTAGCCTCCTGGGACCTCAGGACTAGGGGAGCCTTGAATCAAGTTCCGGTTCTCGTCTTCCCTTCTGACTGTCTTCTTATGATCCAGTCGGAGGTCGAGAGGCTGATCTTCTTCGCCACCTTGAGGAGGAGGACGTCCGGCAGGAGACATGTGTGGACCCCTTGTATTCCTGGAGAGGTCAAAGGGTCCTTCGCCTTGCTGTTCAGGCATCCGGAGACTCAGGGGGTAGACAGAGGCCTGCTTTGGGCTGCTGTGGCCGCTGGGGGCGATCTTTCGAGGAGAGGCGTCTTTTTCACGCATGTTAGGCCCAGGCAATGAAGCGACCCGCGGAATAGATCCGAGTGTCCAAGTATCCACCACGCTCATCCCTCCCTGGAAACAGAAAAACAAATATTGTAATAATTGGTATAGAGATAAAAATAATTAAAACTAAATATTTTGATTAAATTATATTTATGACAAAAAAAAACTTATTAATAAAGAACGTTTCAATTGATTTTTCAGTTCAGTATTTCTTTGTGTATTTAAATCACTAAGCCATTATGATTTAGTTGAGCTACTGGAAGACGTATATCTGTAGCGAACTCCAGATAGCAGCAGCGGTACACACCTCATGCGCTCTGTGTAAGATCGACTTCAAGACAAGTTGAATTAGCATGGCCGGGTTCATTAACTGGACCAATGAAGGACAGGAGAAGTGTCACGTGACCTGCCCTCTTATCTGCGCACGCGCGCCAATTAGACGGAAAGAGAACATTCCTTCAATTCTGAATTATTCATTGGCCTGGCAGACCTTTGCCACGGCTGGAATCCCTCCAGTGCACTTATGGTCTGTCAACTTATCGTAGATAGAAAGTTCTAATGATGCATGACTCTTCGCTTTCATATCGCCTTTCCTACAGGATTTTCATTGCATTTTAATGTGATCGAGCTTCCCTTTTTTTTCAGTTATGATTTTCTTTCATATTTAAAATTCCAATCAAATAAATGTGAATTCCCAAAGAAACAATTAAAGAAAGACCTCTCACTACTTTTTGGTCATTTAATGTTCACAATTTTTGTTGTTGTTATTATTATTATTAACATGATTCATGAGTAAAGAAAGAATTTGAAATCGTAAAATATTTGCCCCCAGACTATTCTAATTTTGATTTAAAATTAATAAAGCAATCCTAATATCAATGTAACATATAGTTGTCATCCTCAACTATCGCACCAACTGTCACAGCATTCAAAATTTATATTTAAAAATATTTTTGACAAAGATGTACTTAAATTTATGTCCATACCACAAACACTTCAGTTGATTAGAATTATTATATTTATTTATTTTACTTGTTTATTATCCTGTATTTGTAGATAATACGGTTTCACATGAATTAACCGATTATTCAAATTTAAATCTATATTTATAAACTAATACAATCTTCATTGATTAACTATATTGAACAGAGCAATGCAAGAATGGATAAATGGCTTCAGTAGAGAGGATTGCTTGCACATCATTAATAAAAAAAACTGTTTGATTGTATTTTAAAAGAACTTTCAGTTACTTCATTAGTTTTCAAGACGGTGCCATTTGTGGCCAGGGTTGTTTCAATGGGAGCGCATCCTCGTTAGGCTAGGCAATAAAAAAGTAATGGCTCGAGATCACTATATATATACATAAAAAAATTATGTCTTTAATTTAGTGATGGATCAATCCGTGAGACTGATATTGCGTAAGTAGAACGTCCGTTGAAAGAGGGATGAAAAACTGTCCCAGGAAAACGGTATGACGTAAGGCTATTGTCCGGGCAAAGGAGGTGTTACGAAGGAACGTCTTGGTTAATTAAAAGGTGACACATGAGTACAGGTGAGTGTTGCAGGACCAGGTAAGTAACTGTAGGAGCTTTTAACAAGCTGGTGGTCCTGGTCATCTGGACCTTCCTTATGCAGGAGGGTATCTCGTCCAGCGATCTGGAGGAATGGTCCATTTACTACCCAGATTGAGGAGACTGCTATGTAGACCAACGGTAGGAAAGTATGTTAGTGTAATAAATGTTGAATGAAATGAGGCATTGAACGATATAAATTTGTCATCTTAACTCGAAAAGAACTTAATTGCTCTTCTACCAGGTAAAATATTATATTATAAAAACGTATACATTAATTATGTAAAAGTTCCAAAATGACACTCTACACTATATATATATATATATATATATATATATATATATATATATATATATATATATATATATATATATAAAGCGGTAGTATTGGTCCCTTTTCCGGCTCACAGAAAAGATGGATATTGATGCATGAGGTATAAAATAGAAGGGAACTTCACGGTGAAGTTATGTATCCCAATTTCAATTCTTAAATTCAAAATAAATTCTATATTACCTAGTCAAAACGTTTGAGCGGCAATTTTTGTTTCAGCAGGATACCGATTTAAAACTGTGAAGACAGAATGGTTGATAAGAGACCACGTGGAATTTCTAAAACCAGACAGACCAACAAGAAAACATATAGATTGGATATAAGATATAAGTAAATATATCATATATTATATATGTATATGAAATTGGAGCAATAACCCAAACTATCATAAATGACATTATTCATTTTAATCCACATATCAATCTTAAGAACTAAAGACTTGTAACGACAACGGTACAACAAGATCCAGAAAAATAAATTCAAACTAATAAGAGCGTTTAAGATGAAAATGTATTATATTTTTAAACTCCACCCTAGGATGCTCGGATTTAACCTTTTCTGTTCGTGTCGCCTTCAAATAAATTATCTAGCCGTAATTTTTTAGCAATTTTCACTCAGGGAATCTGTTTCTGCGCGATGTATTTTTAAAACTGAGAATAGTCTGACTTTAAATTAAGAAATCACTTATAAACGGTAACAACTCCTTAATGTTATTTCCTTTTTTTTTATCTTCACACTAACCATTCGCTCCGGTGAAATGACCTCTTTCCTAAGCGGATCCTATGAACGGTGTAACGTTTCAAGGATAACAGAAAATATAATTTGAAAAGAGAGCAACAGTTCCTTGGGTGAATGGTGGTGACCCGCGGGAGATTGGGTCTCTTGCCACACTACTGTAAAGAACACACATGCACAACGCTACCGGACGCATCGGAATTTCGGGTATAGTAAATTGGATGTTTAGTCCATTAATAAATACTTCGACCCTTGAGAATGAGAAGGTTCCCATTGACTAAATTTAAAACCGTTATTTGTTAATAAGAAAAGATTTATATGACATATGCTACAAACAGAACATAGCGTTGTTCCCATCAGTGACTAGCAAGATCTTCTTATAATGGGATAATGCACACTAGTGAACTGAAATCCTCCGAAACCTAAATCATACAGAAAAACAAAGTAAACCTTTAGAACCTATCAATCCACTTCATGCTATGATGCAGTCAATACACATATTCAATCTTCTGACCTTTATCCCTAACCGAAGAAGAATTATAGAGTTTGGGTTGTACCTCTGGAGGGACTCAAGATTTTAAATTGGAAACCGACTCTGAGATAGAGAAAAAAAAAAAGAATAAAATATTTAAATATATATGTGTGTGTGTGTGTATATATATATATATATATATATATATATATATATATATATATATATATATATATATATATATATATATATATATATATATATATATATATATATATATGCATATAAAATTTAAAAATAAAATATGAATAATTAGATAATTCTTATTGGAAATAATTTACGGTCGGTTCATGCCTGCCAAAAAATATATTAATTAGTTATATGTATATCTGTGGCACATGTGAATATCGTGTAGTGTTATTTTGTGAATTTTAATGGTTATTAGAAAGCTATTTTTTTTCTTATAATTTGTGTCTAATGGGTAAGTTATACAGCTGTTACATAAATTAATATTCATTTGTGAATCATGGGTTCAACTCAAAAATTGAACTTGCACCTACCAATACATAGCATTGAACAAATCAAATTTTCAATTGAAGTTTTCCAAAAATATGATACTTGCACTTAGCATACAGGTGTAACATATATATATTTCATTAATCATATCAGGCTTTGATAGAAAAATATAAAATAAAAATATGATTCTTACTACAAAATGTAAGAATTATTTGTTTTTTCACAAATACTATTAAGGCGATGACTCTGTTTTCAAAAGAATAAACTTCCTTTCGTCAATAACAATGGATTTTTTATTAAGATTAAAATTAATTATTCTCCAAATTTCATCAGAACCTTACCCATCACCCTAATCCCGTAGCACAATCCCTATCTAGCACCACTCATCCCTACAATCCTCCTCGCAGGCTGAAACGGCAGTGGCCCCGTGACCTTTTGTAACATGTATATACTGGAGTTCTGGCAATGGCCAGATTCTCCACTCAAGTCATGAGTGTCCGTGGTTGTAGCGCCCTTACTCATTCTCCGCTGGCTTTCAATGCCAGTGAAATGGTTGAGCACGAAGCGCAGGGATCATCTGAAGCCTTGCTTTCCCTCCACATGTGGGGGGATAAGTATGGTTCGGAGTTCCTATGGCCGACTGTAAATAGTATAATAGGTATGCCTGCGTCTAAGATGTTTATTTTCATTACTTTTTTTTTTATTTATTATTTTTTTTTTCTCACTATGATATTTTATTTTGTTCTTTTGTAGCTTTATATTATTTGAAATTAGCTTATTTTTTTTTATTTATTTATTTTTTTTTAATTTGTAAATATGGTGTGAATGTGCTCTCAGAACACTATTATAAATGTCCTTTATTGAGACAGATTGTAATATTTATCAATAAAAAAAAATAAAAATAAAAAAAAATTAATTAACATAATGAATTTCACTAAGAATAATACTTCGGTCCTATTTCAAAACTTGAGAACCCGAGATCTTAAGGAACGATGCTTGACATATTTCCGAACGGCATTTTCCTTAGACTAGTTTCTATTGATTTAATATTTCTAATAAAAAAAAAAAATAAAACATATGCAAACTGCCTTCATTTGATATAATTACTTGCGGAGATGATAGATGACTTTTATCTGTCATAAAGACACTATGATAAAGATCAGAAAGGGGCGGAGGAAGACCGCGCTGCATTTAGTACGGTCAATAGCATTATGAGCATTAGGCATTGAAATCTCTGCACTATTCCCTTGGATTCCCACTAGTACCAATGTCTGTACTCTGACTAGAGTACTTTGTACTTTGTACTGTTACTGCAGTTTGCAGAGGTAGTGAGTCGGAAATATCTGGGATGGACCATGGCTGACAGTTATGGGCCGCCAGGCGGGCCCCAACAGCCAATTAAATCTCTTGTCAAGCGCAACATCTACTTAGCGCTAATCGCTATTAACATATTACACGGTCCACTCTCCTCGGCCTTTTTTTTTTGTTAAAACATTTTATAACGGGCACTTAATTATACATGAGCCCCGGACAAGCCAAACTCAAACCGCTCAGCTTGGTAACAGTTCGCGCAGATCCGTCGATAAGGATAGCGTAGAAAGTCCTGCCTTCGGTAGGCTCTGGTTTCCAACAGTTCCATGTCTTACAAGGCAGGGTATTTGTTTACGCTCCCCACCAAATATCACTGATCAGCTATGCTTAGAGGGTTACTGGCAATACTAATCATTATGACTTATTGCCACATTGCCTTAATATCATTATCAATAAGTCCAAGTTGTTGAAGAAAATATGCATTCATAGTATAGTTTATGTTGAATATTTAATAGTTAACCGTTGCATTATAAAGGAAGGTGATGGTCCGGGGCGGCGGTCATAAATAGGCTTAATAGTGGCAAAACTATTTAGCCTATTTATGACCGCCTCCCCGTACCATCTCCTTCCTTTATAATATAGTTCGA